TATATATGAAGGTGAGTTATGCCAATTTATGTTTGTATCGAAGAAGTAGCCCTTGGTGTTACTCGGTACTCCAAAAGTAGCTCTCAGTCTCCAAGTTTGGTGACCCCTGGTCTAACGTGTGATTGAGTATAAATCCTTCCAGCTTCTTACCGACTCATCCATGATGGAAGCGGGGTCGAAGTAGTCTGGCTTGAGTTCAGATCTCTCGCGGCGGTTTTTCGAAGGAGGCTGGAGAAAAAAAATTAATAAATAAAAATAAGTACATGAAAACTCCTGCTCAGCTAATAAGTCATATTTGGGTCACATAAGAACCAATGTGGAGCCACAGTCTGATGATAGTTACTATCTGAAACATTTGTGACAGTACACCACTGTGCACCGTCTTCAGGGTTTGACAAATACCACTCCCCGACTGCCTGCGACACGTAAAATATAAATTCAGGCAGGTCTATGTGTCGCAATCCCTGCCCAACCAGGGACGTAAACTATGTCTTTCATTTTTTTTATAATATATGGACATTTAATTGAAAAATACTGAAATGAAGATATATAGTATTTTAAAATGTGCAGATCATGTAAATCATACGACCCTCAAAGCTGAGCATACAACAGCAGCAGCAGTTTCTATATTTTCTTGTAAATAGCTGAAATACTGTGTTGTGGGGGATAAATCCTCTTATGGTAATTTCTCCCTCTCTGATGCTGTGTCGCTCAGAGTGAAATATTAACAACCATAGATTTTTTCATACCCGAATAAAGAAATTTAAAAAAAAATTTTCTTAACTGTGGAAATGAAAAAAAGATGTGGGTGTTCACTTGCTCATAAAACCGTCTTGCTAATTTAACAATAAGCTTCTACTACGGTTGAGCAGCCAATCATTTTCAGCAACATGTGGACATTTGCACAGTATGGCAGGCTGTTTTAACATAAAATTGGCTGCACCACACTTACACTCCAGATATCTGAAATTGCATTATGACTAAATGACATTTTGACTAGTATAAATGATGTTTACCTTCAATTTGTATACAGTCTCCAATTTAAGATTGATTTTTATATACGATATCTGTTAGCGTGTTCAAATTCAAGACTGTATTCTTTAGGTAAATTTTACTGATTGCCACTTTATAATGTTTTTGAATGTTTTTGTTCAGGGTCTTGAGATGACACTTAAATTGGTGTTAAACCTAAATGAATGGGTCACGTTATTTATTTCAAACTACATTTTTATAGGCTCCCTCTGACCCATTGTAATAAATAAAACTGCTGTTTCCTAACTGACTTTATGATGTAAAAAAAAGTAAATTTATTTGCAGTAATTCAATTCAAAAATACTTTATTGATCCCAGAAATTAGATGTTGTTATAACTCATTTAACTAAAGACTTATTGTAGATGCTGATGTTTGTGGGCAGGAAAGGTTTTCTATAGTGGTCTGTGTTACAACAAAATTGAAGAAGCCTCCAACTGAAGAGACACCGTTTTTCTGACAGTCTGATGAAGAGGATGGTCAGGGTTTGTCCACAATGTTCTTGATTTTATGTAAACAAACTTCAGTAAATTCTTGAACAACTCTTCATGCGTTTCTCACCAGATCAATATCCATGGTGTCGAAGTCCATGCCTTCATTGAGGTCATCCATGCGACCCTCGGACGACATCATCACATCCTCCACGATCGGCTCTTCGTCTTCCTCCATAAGCCCGGTGCCGCGACGACTGCTGGGGAGACGGTTAATTAGTTACCTGAGAGTGATGAGCGCTGCAGCTGTGCGCAGGTGAGTTTGGGTCTTACATAGCGTGCTGCAGATTGGTCCTGAGCTTGGCGTAGTTCATGGCTCTTTCTTGCTGCTGGCGTGCCTCTTCTTGCTGCCTCTGCGCCAGCATCCACGTCACCTGTGAACTACACACACACAAACAGGAACGCATCCATCAGAGTGTTTGTCATCCACATGTTCCTGCTGTTTTAACTGGAAACCATAGGAAATATGTGAGATATGGTTAAATCTCCCACTGGCCCGGTGCCTTTAAAAAGCATGGGTGAATAAATAAAGGAGTCAGTCGGTGTCCCAGCAGAGCCAACACTTGGCAGCCTGTTAAATACAAACATTCTGCAACCATTTGCCCTCCAAATTAAAAGCATGCAAATGGGAAATTACACTGAACTCAATCCTAATGCATTTTGGCTCAATTCTGTTGGACCCATTCTGGGAATAAAAAGCAAAGATATATAAAAATAATAATAATAAATGGACTGAGTTGTGGTCCTGGATATGAGCCTGGATATATTAATAAAATCTTGTGGTGTAAAGCATGAAGCTGCTCCAACATGAATATGAAAATTCTAGGTGAGCAAAGCAAACAGAAGCGAGTTGAAATCTGACGACTGAGCGCTGTGAGCTCCTTTCATACGCTGAACTTTTGATCCTGAGGCAGCTGGTCAAGTTTGGGTTCTGCAGCCCCACTTGGAAGCAGCAGTACACATCACAGCGCTCCCTCAGCTCCAGGCCTGCTTCCACAACCATGAGCCTTTACTCTGCTCACTCTTATTCACCATCAATCCTGGATTATTTCATTAGATAAAGAAAAACACAAAGTGACGGCTTTAAACTGAGGCGAGTGGTGCCAATACAACAGCAGCTAAACTGAAGGATCATTTTTAACTCTGTTTAAAAGCCTGTGATGCTGTAGAGAACATGGGTGGAGGTTTAGAGTAGAAAAGAAAACCAACTAATTAGCATCATTGCTAAATGCTTCGACCTACAGAGCATGCTGTCATCAGCCAGGCTGACGTGTGGAACAAGAACCTTTTATATTAAAAGCACTTCTTTTAACATTTAGATTGACTTGTATTGACTGTTGCAGCCTCATTAAAACATACTCTATGTATTAMTTTTCTRTTACGTTAACATTAAKTTAATAAAAATACATAATGTCCTAAAYTGATTTGTACAATTTGCAAGTAAATCACGTCTAATACCCATACTTTAYTGTGGTCTGGTCTACTACTGTGTTTACTGAAGAGTTATGCATTTCATGYCAAAGCAAGTATTCCTAATGTTTTATTCAAACCTACATGTACTGCACTTTGAGTCCATTACTACGTAYGTTACTGAACTTKAACCTGAATACCAGATTGAGAGGCACATACTTGTAATCCATGGGTGTCTGGTGGTGCTGAGGCGTCTGTTGATGGTGTTGTGGGTGTTGGTGGGGCTGTGGCTGCTCGTGAGGAAGAGGGTAGACCCCCATGTAGCTGTCTTCACGACCCCTCTTAGGGTCTCGCATGGCAGTGGAGGTGAGATGGGGTGAGGGCAACATGACGGGGGTCTGAATGCTTTGCTGCCAAGCCTCAACGACGCTGCTGCTCTCCTCTGGAAAAACAAGAAAAAGGTCCCGGTGATTATTGTTCACTGATATCTAGGGTTGGGCATAATCGTACAGTGTGCAGTTAATCATCAGAAAAACAATAATCTATTATATTTTGGCACTTGACGGTTAATACAATTAATGCCACCAGGCAGACTGACTGCAGGTTTCCCTGGTCAGTCCGCTCGGTTTTCCAAATACGACAAACCTTTTAAAAAAATAGTTCTGTAATTTATTTATCATAACTCCGGATTTACTTGGTCTATCAACACAATAAAAAACTGATATATAGCCTGGAGTCTGTACTTTTTACACAATTTGGAACAGATTTTTTATGAAGAACAAATCTTTCCCAATAGAGTGATTTAAGTAGTCATGTGACTAGGATATGAGGGTGTCCAGGGAATCCAGAGACTCATCAAATAAACCGTTATCGGCTAAATACCACAATTAATCGTGATTATTTTTATTTATTTTTTGCCAATATTTCCCTATTGATAACAGGGGTTTTTAAACTGTGGGGCGGTTATCATTAAATTGGGATGCTAACGGTTCAGAGGTGACCTGTTGTGTGCAAGAGGAAAAAGTGACGTCACACACAGCGAGCATTGTTTGAGGAAGTAATCTCACATGCTACACGTGTTAGCATGTGAGATTATAAAGTTCTGACCTGCTTGTCAGGTCCAGTGTTTATAATAATGTGAACGCTTCATAGCATTCACACTATTGAGATCATTTTTTCCTACATTTCTCGGCATCTAACTCGTTCCACAATTTTTGTGCTATTTGAACAAATCATATATCAAAAGTGGGGTGCTATGACTTTTGGTATTTCAGCTATTTATACATTTTTAGCTATTTCACATTTTTAGCCACCTTTTTTTCCATAGAAAATTAATGGAGCTGTTTTCAACATCCTTAAACTCCTTTAAAATGTTTCCAAATCTTTACAGCACTTTACACATGTTGTTCTGTTTATGCTCTTTTTTGCCTTTCTGTGCTAATTTTGACTACTTCTTGTTTTACTAGTTTTTGCTTTTTTCTTCTGTTTCAGCTAAAATTCTGCTTTTTTCTATTCTTTTGCTTTTATCTACTTTTTTGTGCTTTTAACTGCTACCTTGTGCTTTTCAGGCTTCTTACAGATGTTTTCTGCTACTATTTGTTGAAATTTTAGCTGTGAATGTTTAGCTGCTATTAGCTAAAGTTAGCTTTTCTAAACTAAATACACATTGTTTGTAGCTATTACAATTTTTTCAACTGAGTTCAGCAAACTTGTGCTCCTTATGCTTCCTTGTGCTAATTAAAACATTTCCAGCCACGTTTTAGCTGTTATACTGAAAATTTCAGCTGTTTTAGCTGTTTTACTACAAATTATCACTTTTATGTAATTTTATGATTTTTTTTCCTGTTCTAGCTATTTTCCAACTATTTTATGCTACTTTAGCTATAGATCTGCTTCTATCTGCTATTCTTCTGCTTTTTTCTACTTTTTCTGCTTTTTTCTGCTACCTATTGCTATTTATGCTTCTTAGATGTTTTCAGCTATATTCAGCTATTTTAGCTCTTAGCTTTTAGCTGTTTTCAACTAGATCTGTGCTCCTTTTTACTGTTTTTCTGAAAAGTTTGGCTTTTTTGCTTCTTTCAGCTTTCAAAGTGATCTCACATTAACCCTTTTCATATTAAATATTTTCAGCTCAGTTTAAGCAGCTTTCAGCTAAAGTTTTAAGGAAGAAGCATTCACACTAGTATTTTTGCAGGGAATGCAATTTCTCTAGTTATTCTTGCCTCTTGATGGATTTTCCTGCGCAGGTAAAATAAACTCAATATCGGTCCCATCACGTTAGCATCCACATGACCTGACACTAACTTAGCATCATCTGTTAGTTAGCACCCTTATTAATACACGGATCGAGCTGCTCAAGCGATCACAGTGACTTTACGTAAGAGATGAAATGAGACATGAGCGTTCAGAGTCGCTTTGTAAAACATCTGATACGTGTCAGATCTGGGCGTCATACCCTCTGGTAGTTTCCGCTTTTCCGCCGACGTTCCGGCTGTAGCCAAAGGAGGTTTAGCCTTCTTGGAGCGAACAGAGGAGCCTCGGCTTGAGTAGCCGCTCATCACAGACATGGTGTCGTCGTCACCGCCGGCCTGCAGGGAGTTTCTGTAGGAGATCAGGGGAAGCCAGCAGTCCTCTCGCTGCAGTGCCATCTGGAACGTCATGAAGCACTCCAGGTACATGTGGCTGATGAGGGGAGGGAAGTCACACAGATGAAATGGAATC